GAGAAAGAGTGTATTCACTTCCAGCTTCACCACTGTCCAGCTTCCTGATTGCTCGACCTTTACAGGAGTACCAGGCATTTCTGACTATTCTCATATTTCCTGAGGCCTGACATCTATTAAAAATTAGCTAAATTTTAGAACGCAGCACAAGACCACACTTGAAAGCTAGGTTGTCTAAGTACGGTTTTGCATAATTCTTACACACTTTATGGAATAGTGTGAATCCAATGTGTAAACTGCTAGCCTAAATTTCCTCAGACCCTTAACGATTTATGTTTTAATGACTGCTACGATGACGCTGATTGCTCAAAATGTCTTTTAAACCTGAGAATGCCAGTAAAATCTAGATAGGAAGTTGATCCTATCGCGTGTTTGGCTTCAGCGATTCAACGGAAGACAGCATCAAATTCTAAGTCATTATATCTGCAAAACTATCCATGATTTTCGTCAACCTTATAAATTCACGTTTTCTGGCAGGTTTGGACATTATGTTCAATTAGGCTCTGTTGTATACAAGGTATTTGTTGTTAGGCGGAACTCAGCAGAGCGGTCAACACACTTATTTACCAGATGATTTCCCTGAAGATCATGCCGCTTGCCGGCCCAACATTAAGGCTAGCTCTGATAGGCAACAAAATCAGTTTGAAGAAGTGAAACTAAAGCTGGTTGAGGCGCTGACTCAGACATACCCAGACACGTGTGGTCACCACCTGTGAAACGTCTGTTTCTTAAGCTGATTCAGCCGCAGCCTCCACAACGAAGTACCTATTCGACCTTCTTTCTGGTAACAATTTTTACTTCTCGTTAAGGCGATAAAAAGGCATGCACGAACTGATTTTTTTCAGCTTCGATGTTCGGATTGTTACTGCAAAAACATAGCTCACCAGAACAAAAACCATGTACCAACTTTACTCATTCAAACCTTAGCTTTGATAAAATGTTCTAAACAATATATTTTATGCTTAGGTCATCATATTGGGTGCAAGCGACTCTACTTAATTTTTTGCGTGATGTTAAACTCCTTAAAGACTGTACCGGCACAGCAGGATTTCCCCCAGATAATGAAGTACTTGATAGTACTTTGCGTTCTTGGTTTTAAGCAGCCGGGGTATTCCGTAATCCGATTGGATTATTTCTGATTGTCGTTAATGTTTGCTGCCGGTGACCAAGGAACGAGCGTAAAGCGTTTAGGCCCCTGGCACTTTTCTCCCGATACTCTTAATTGCTGAATGAACAAACAAATGGGGGAAGCAGCCACAAAAATTGTGTTCGCTTCTTGGAAAGCGCAATCTCCGAGTCTCAAGAACACTCAGTTGCGCAGGGTTGAAAATTAGATGGGACAAGTGGGTCTGCTGGACCCGGTGTTAAATACGCCGGAGCACATTAGCCTCGGCTCCGGAGCCTGTGAATA